CTTCTCCTGCAATCCTCTACTATATTTGCCCAGTCTGCAAATTTTGCTTCGAAAATTAAAGTCTTGCTGCATTATATGCTTTCATTTATCTCCAAGAGCAATACCAATTTGGCAGGCTGCAACGTGTGCTGCAATGAAAACCTTGGAGGTCACTCTGCTGTGATCGCTCAAAATACACTTGGGTTTAAAACCAGCAATAATTGTGCTGAAACCAATAGAATTACCATGGGTCATGTCAGATTACGTTGTGCTTGGTGCATACTCCTGTAAGGCAGAATAATCTTCAAGATCTGATCTGCAGATTCTCCTGGGGGGCAGAAGGAGTTGTAAAGCTGTAAGCAGCATATTTATCCGTACAGTGGAAACCATTAATAAAAATTCATCATGTAGGAACAGCAACAACAAGGATATCAACTTTGAAAGACATTTAAATATTTAGTTATGCCTAATTACTTTTTTCTTAGTAATTCAAAAAGAGGAAAGAAGCAGGAGGGATTCCCTTGTGTTTGACGCATAATGGGTGTCTCAAATATTTCATATCATAATAACGTTTCTATTATTATCTTCACCTGTAAAAACAAAACCAAACCAAAAACCATAACGTGAAAAGATACATAAAATTATCTAAAAGGTTTCCAGACTTTAAAGGTTAAAGGAGGCTCTCAGTCTATGAACACCTCTTTTGAAAGACTATTTCCCTGAGAAGAAGTTGTGCTGAGGGCTGTCCAGATCAATAGGTAACAGAAATGCCTTTTGGAAAGCCTGTAGGAACAGGGAGAAGTAGGGTGACATCATGCCTGTGTTCTCAGAGACTGACCATAGCCATTTAGTAACTTTAATTACAGGTTGTTGTACCGCCCCCTGAATTAGGAAGCATAACAAGCCTACTCCACCCTTTTCTCTTAACATAAAGCTATCACAGAACACTGCAGGGAGGCTTAAGCTCTGAAGAGCTGGAATGAAGCTCACGCTTAATTAAAAGTTCGCTCCTGGGCGTTGTTCTAGCCCACTCCTGTGGCTGCACTGACCCCTAGTGACTGCAGAGATAGTTAAATAATCGACAGCCGTTTTTAAAAATAAATTATGAATTTACATAAAGCATTGTTATACAAGGCATATTTTATAAGCAAATGTCTTCATTAGGAGGATATTGTAAAATCCTTCGTTTTTAGGCAATCTTTATAATTCCTGGGGAAGTTTCATTTTGTTTTTATTTTACAACCAATTTTTTTCATGTTTGGATGTTGACTAGAGATGGACTTTTCCACCTCAATTAATAAACAGTTTATTTAAGATACCAGTGCTGCTAAGATGCTGGGACTTAGCAGTTTCAATTCAGCTGTATAAGTTTATTCAGGAGTGTAGGATCTCTGGCTGGAATCTTTGCAAACAATTAATAAAATACAGGTGGTACCTCTGTTAATCTGTTTACTGTTTAAGATGATTCCCCTATTCTAGGTGTGTTGTTAGAACTACCATCTAGAAAAAGTGTAGCATATTTTAACATGTATAAGGTGAAAGCAATAAATATCTTTCTTCTTCTTTCAATTCAGCAGCAGATAATGCACATGCATATAGAATACTCAGGTAAATTCAACTCTCTTGCAGTAGCACTCCAACTCTTATCTTTGGCATATTATCTCAGAACTTACTTTCAAGTACTGTTAGTTTAAACCAGTGTGGGTGATCTGTCATGCAGTGGGTATATGAAAACAGAAATGCAATCTTTAGGAACTCACTGCATGAAATAATGAATATCCCCCAGTACCTTTGGCTCCTCCCTGAGGCTCTACTGATAGAGACAATCAGGCAGAAGGAGATTAAGGAACATAAGAGGGAATTCATCTGTGATCTGGAAAACATGCATGTATTTTTATTATGCTAGTGGCTCTTGGAAGGTGTTACAGGAAAATCTGATATAAGGATTTGATCATACAACCCACTGATCCCTTCCTGTTCCTCTGATACCAGCCGAGAGTAGTAAACACCCCACAGGAACTGTTAATACATTGTTGAACTGTGTATTTATTGTACAATGATGAGGTGTTTCGTACTATCTGTGACCTGCCAGCTTGAGCAAGTAACGACTAAAGAGAACTGTATCTGTAATTTCTCTGAAGGAAGATCCAGTGAAAAAGGAATAGACACTGTCATGAGGCTCTGCTTCCACAACAATCCATGATCAGACAAGTATTGCTCTCAAGGCCAAGTCATTCTCCTCCTGCTTTCTGTTTTTCTCCCTTGAGCTGCGTCTGACACTTAGCCCAGTACTCCGCTGAGAATAATGGCGTGTTAAGAGACTTGAGAACTATTTTCTTTGGACTTTGGCTTGGTAGGTTGGCTTCTCAGGCTGGGGAGGTGGGTTACGTTGCACCAGAAGGTGCTGTTTCTTTATGATCTCAGTTGGAATGATGCTCAGATTCTATAAAGCAGCTATTACGATGCTGCTTTTTTTGGAGAGCACACCAAAAAGACCAGGAGGATACCACAGATAATCATATCAGATCAGATGCTGGCAGCCCCAAATTGTCCAACATCAAATCCGACCAATGCCCAGAAAAGCCTGCAGATCCCATCCAGAGAAAAGTGACCCCATTTGAGATCTTACAGGATTTCCCCCCAAGAAGCAACTCGATTTCTCAATTCTGCTGTCAAACAGAAAGGATGATCATCTGAGAACCTCTCGTGTCACTGTCAGAGAGGAGGCGGGGTAAGAGGTCTTATGTGACTGGACACAGCATCCCTTAGAATTGAGATTTTAAATTGCCTAGGGCATACACTGTATCAAATATTGCTGCAAGGCATCATGTACTACAGTGATGTCCACAGTTCTGCTGCTCTGCTAAAATGGCAAAATCTCAAGATCAAACTCTGACTGAGCCCCAGAACATCAGCCAAACTACTAAACCATATAAGAATCTGGTTTTCACACCAAAACAGCTACTTCCTGGAAGGCAGTATTGTTCCGATTAACATTAAGTCCTCTGCAATTGCTAAGTAAAACTAATTGTTTTTATTCATAATACTAATTACACATTAAAAAGCTTTGCAAAAATTAATTCACGGAACAAACTTTTTTAACAGATTAAACTTCTTCAATATATTTATGAACTTTATAGGTGACAATTCAGGGCACACTTTCAAAGTTTCTGAACAGTTTTCACACATCGCATGTACTTGCTGCATCTTATTATTTGAATTTGCAATATTATCATCTTTGGTTTTTACATTTGAGAATTTTCTTATTTCAATTCAGATTTTTCTTCTGAATTCAAGTACTTTCTTCATCTCCCTCCTGTCTTCATACCGTTTTCCTTTTCGGTTCACTTCCATGTCTTCTTGGTGCTGTTGTCAAAATAGAAACAAAGAACATTTTGTGCATACTTTCAAAAGGCAAAACTATACGCTCTTTCAGAAGCAGTTTAAGTGGTAAACCGTCAACACAGGAGACAAGGTCAAGTTGTCTTCTCTGCTTTCTGCTCAGCTGTAAAATCTATTAATTTTGGGCCCTCAGGGCACCCTGTGAATGTTTACTAGCCTGATTCCTTTCATGAATTTGGACCGTGGCTGATCAGCGGTCGGCTGTTGGAGATGCTTCACAAGCAGTCAGAGACAAATAGACCACAGTCATGCAGTGTCTCTGCTGTGCTTTGTCCAGTGCTACAAGTCAAACCCCCTCCTGTAGCTCCTCACTTTAAAGGCACTTTTTGCATTCAGATCAGGAATACTGTCCAAAATTAGGAATCACGGGTTAGTTCTACAGGCCAAATTTCACGTCTGCAAATCAATACAACTCTTAACTGTTCTTTCAGACTGCTCAGCATTGCCTGGAATCTTTGAGATTTGGTAGGGGAATTTGTTACTGTGAAATTTTGGTTTCTAGGTGGGGAAAGACCAGATGGTCAGAATCTCTACCAAGCAGTTACCTGAATGGTTGTTTTTGCCTGTGGATTTCTTTTCCTCGAAGTTGGTGCATTATAGGATCCTGAAGTGTGTTTGTCTGTAGGAAGAGCATAGACATGGTTTCCTCATATGAGATACACTTTCTGGGAAGGCTTTCTTAGCCTGACAGGTGAATCAGATACTACATTATTACAAATACTATGTTATCTGAAGTACCCATGAATGCATCGGGTGAGTCCTGTAGCACCTCTAAAATCGAAGCTAGGATTAAGTACAGAATCTCTCTCTCTCTAGTTCTCTTTGCAACGAGTTTTGTAATCTTGCAGGTTTTCCATGAGGCTCTGAGGACCTTCCAAGCGAGGCATGGTTTAAGTCCAGCCAGTAGCTCAGAACCACAGCTCCACGAGGGATGAGGAGGAGAATCGAAAAAATGGAACTCCCATGGGTTGAGGTAAGAACAGTCCAGTAACTAAGGTATAACACAAGCCACTGCTGCTACCACTCGCCAACTGATACCCAGCCTGACCCGAGCAACAGTCTGGGCCTTCTGGGCAACTCCCCCCAGTTTATACACTGGGCATGACATACTGTAGTACTGAATACTCCTTTGGCTAGTTTGGGTCAGGTGTCCTGTCTCTGCTTCCTCCCAGCTTCCCTTCCTCCCTGGCAGAGCATGAGACTCAAAAGTCCTTGGTCAGAGTAAACACTACTTAGCAAGAACTAAAAACATCAGTGATATCAATGTTGTTCCCAGGCTGAAAGTCAAAAACACAGCACTGCACCAGATACTAAGAAAAAGAAAAAAATTACTGCTACAGCTGAACCCAGGACACCCTGCCATGGTTGTCAGGGACTTTAACTAAGTGCATGTTCCTGTACTCAAAATCTTCCAAAAGGCATCAGCTGCTTTTAGAGGAAACACATCCATAATTCAGTCCTCCTGTTTTATCTCTGCTTGTGAACACACTTAGATGCAAGGCAACGTTATGCTTAAGTACCCTTGTTTTCTCTTAGTTCCAGATTAAGCGCATTAATGCACATTATTTATTCCATACTAAACTGAAATTTTCACTTTACACCCAACGCTGCGGTATTACCATAGTTTCCTGTTTGTGTCCAAAATCTCCTATTTTTGCCAGGCTCATTCTTTCCTTTGGAGCATTTCTGAACAGATGGCTCAGGAACTGCTGAAAAAAAACAACCCAGTAACCAAAATGGTAACGGTTGCTGTTATGAGAATAATGCTGATCACCTTGTTTTAGACACGCTGTATCCTTTTTTAACCTGGAAGCTTGATAAGATGTAGTCTTCACATTAAGAATGATCTCTCTGTAATTTCTGCACCCATCTGTCCACATTTTATCAAAGCAAACATTAAAAGCAAAAAGAAAAACCCCACAACTATTAGTCCCTGGGATAGAGTACTGATCTGGGATTCCTTCCCCTTAACCTTATTGATCTTCTCCATATGAAAGAAGTTCCCTTCACTGGAAAGACCTGGAGGCACCTCGAGATGGAGATTCAACATGGTTTAAGATAGGTGACCAAAACTGTTTAGAGGAAATGACTTTTTAACTTAGGGTTATTGAAATACTTTATTTACTAATTTTTATGAAGTGACAGATAAAACAAGCAATTTTCCAGAGTAATGATGGACAGGGCAGGGAGAAAGGCACATAAACTTCAAATTATGTACTTGATTATGTGAAGCTCTATTAGAAAATGAAAAATAAAGCAAAAGATGTACAATTATAATTGCATCCAAACTAGATACCCAAAAAGGAAGACCCAGGACTCGGAATGCCACCTGTCAGCTCCTGCCAAATTTATGACATAGTATGGTCGATCAGGAGGATAGGGGCATATTTCTAAGATGGAGAGAAGTTGATGGAAAATATCATCCTGCATGAATGGCAGAAAGAATGAACTCAGTGCTCTGTCCAACAGAAATAATGTGAAGAAACAATAATAAATTGCAGAAATTTACACTGCATGTAATTCAAGAAAAGCAGCTTGATTACAATCCCAGGACGTTTTTCTTGAAGATGAAAAATAAGTTTAAATTATGAAAACAATCATAAAATCTTTACATTTCTTTGTGTGTGTACTGCTGCAACCTACTTGTGAAAGTCACACTGGATCAAATTTACTCTTGCTCATCTTTAACCATAAATCTTCATATTCTACCTCCAGGGACACAAGTGACTGTAGCACAATACAGGCAGGTGTATTAGAGGCATTTTAAGAATCCTCCCTTTGAAGCAGGAACTCACCTCTAGGTCCGGTGAACTTTGGTTCTTGGGTGACAGTGACAGAACGGTAGACTACATATGCTGATCTTCGTGGTTCTGGAGAACAGAAGTAAGGCTTTCTCCCGGTTTCTCTCTCATGTGGAAGAGAAGGAGTTTCACCATCGTTACTTTGACCATTTGTTTGGTGACTGGGCTGTACTTTGGGGCTGGCAGTGTGGCTTCCTAAAAGGGGAAAAAAAATAATACTGTTGACTTAATGCTGGAAGACAAGACTAAAAACAAAAACCATTTTATTTGTGGATAGCCCAATCAAATATAGACAGTTACGTCATTCATGAGGTAACGGTTAGCCATAAGAACTCCAAGCAAAAGTATCTTACCTCCATTTCCAAAGGATCTGCAACCTGCTTTTAGAGGAAACTAATGCATAATTCGGTCTTCCTGTTTTATCCATGCTTGTGAATGTACTTAGATGCAAGGCAATGTTATGTGTAAGTACCCTTGTTTTCTCTTAGTTCCAGACTAATTGCATTAATTCACATTATTAATTCCGTACTAAAACTGAAATTTTCAGTTTACACCCAACACTGCGGTATTACCGTAGATGTCCGTTTCTGTCCAAAATCTCCTATTTTTGCCAGGCTTGTTCTTTCCTTTGGAGCATTTCTGAACAGATGGCTCAGGAACTTCTGAAAAAAAAAAAAACACACCACAAAATAGTAGCAAAAATGGTAATTGCTGGTATGACAAAAATCATATAAACATAGAATCATATAATCACAGAATGGTTAGAGTTAGAAAGGACCTTAAAGATCATCTAGGTCCAACCCCTCTGCCACAGGTAGGGTCTCCTCAAAGTAGACCATGTCACCCAAGGGTCTGTCCAGCCTGGCCTTGAACTCTGCCAGGAATGGAGCATTCACCGCTAATTGGGCAACCTGTTCCAGTGCTTCATGACCCTCAAAGAACTAGTTCCTTACATCTAACCTTAACATATAAGTTTAAAACCATTGTCCTATTGCTACCATCCCTGATGAAAAGTCCCTCTCTGGTATCCTTGTAGGCCTGTTATGGTTTAAGCCCAGCCAGCAACTTAGAACTGGCTGGGCTTAAAACACCACAGCCCCTTTCAGATACTGGAAGGCTGCTGTGAGGTCTCTATGCAGCCTTCTCTTCTCCAGGCTGAACAGCTGCAGTTTTTTTCCGCCTGTCTACATACGGCTCAAGCCTCCTTATCATCCCTGTGGCCCTCCTCTGGACTTGTTCCAACAATTCCATGTCCTTTTTATGTTAAGAACATCAGAACTGCACACAATACTCCGAGTGTGGTCTCACAAGAGCAGAGTAGAGGGGCAGGATCACCTCCTTTGACCTGCTGGTCACGCTCCTTTTGATGCAGCCCAGGATACAGTTGGCTTTCTTGACTGTGTGCGCACTCTTCCGGCTCATTTTCAACTAATACCCTGAAGTCCTTCTCCGCAGGGCTGCTCTGAATCACTTCACTGCCCAACCTGTAGCTGTGCCTGGGATTGCCCTGACCCAGCAACCTTGCACTTTGCTATGTTGAACTTCATGAGGTTGGCATTGGCCCACAACTCCCCCTGGATGGCACCCCTTCCCTCCAGCTTGTCAACCAACCCACATAACTTAGTGCCATTGGCAAACGTGGACACCGTCCATGTCGCCAACAAAGATGTTGAACAGGGATCATTCCTAACACCAACCCCTGAGGGACACCACTTATTACTGGTCTCCAGTTGCATGTTGAGTCATTGACCACAACTCTCTGTGTGCAGCCATCCAGCCAATTCTTTATCCACTGGGTGATCCATTCATTAAATGTATGTCTCTCCAGTTTAGAGACAAAGATGTCGTGTGGGGCAGTGTCGAACGATTGTCACAAAATATCATCCTGCATGAATGGCAGGAAGAATGAACTCAGTGCTCTGTCCAACAGAAATAATGTGAAGAAACAATAATAAATTGCAGAAATTTACACTGCATGTAATTCAAGAAATGCAGCTTGATTACAATCCAAGGACATTTTTCTTGAAGATGAAAAATAAGCTTAAATTATGAAAACAATCATAAAATATTTACATTTCTTTGTGTGTGTACTGCTGCAACCTACTTGTGAAAGTCACACTGGATCAAATTTACTCTTGCTCATCTTTAACCATAAATCTTCATATTCTACCTCCAGGGACACAAGTGACTGTAGCACAATACAGGCAGGTGTATTAGAGGCATTTTAAGAATCCTCCCTTTGAAGCAGGAACTCACCTCTAGGTCCGGTGAACTTTGGTTCTTGGGTGACAGTGACAGAACGGTAGACTACATATGCTGATCTTCGTGGTTCTGGAGAACAGAAGTAAGGCTTTCTCCCGGTTTCTCTCTCATGTGGAAGAGAAGGAGTTTCACCATCGTTACTTTGACCATTTGTTTGGTGACTGGGCTGTACTTTGGGGCTGGCAGTGTGGCTTCCTAAAAGGGAAAAAAAAATAATACTGTTGACTTAATGCTGGAAGACAAGAGTAAAAACAAAAACCATTTTATTTGTGGATAGCCCAACCAAATATAGACAGTTACGTCATTCATGAGGTAATGGTTAGCCATAAGAACTCCAAGCAAAAGTATCTTACCTCCATTTCCAAAGGATCTGCAACCTGTTCTGGAAATACTCTCTTTTGGTACTCTCCTTCCCGTAGTGTTTCCTTCTCTACTTGTGGTGGTCAGTTCTGGAGGAAATGTACTGCTGTCACCTGTGAAAGCATCAGAAATAATGTTTCAGCTGCTGGTGTTTAAGCACTGGGAAGGGCACTGCCATTGGCTTCCTCCCACGTCTGTGAGCTTGTCTTGAGTACAGTGCAGTTGCCTTCCAACTCCCTTTCTATATTCTTCTCTCTCTTTTGGCTGTTCTTTGGATCCTGCCTGGAGTAACTCCACTACCTGAGCTATAACACTCATGCCCTCTAAGAAAATACCATTGTACACAGAGTAAAGAAGACACTGGCTCCAAAGTAAAGAACCAGCACCAAGTTACCTGCTTGTTCTTCAGCTTTTCACTTTTCATGAATGATATTTATGAATGCTACCTGACCAAACCGATGGTATTTTCAAGGCGCCTGTCATCACAGAACTTAAAAGCCACAGAGAACTCAATTAAAGAACTGCTTTGGGTAAATCTTTCTATGCTTTCCTCAGAATGTACCTTATGAAAAATAAGGATGTGCCTTAAACCCAGATATTTCTTACTGTTTCTCTCATCTGTAACCTAAACATATATAAACATGTGCCAGAAAAAAAGTCATCAAATCTATTATAATAACATGCATTTTAAATGTAGAAATGAGAAAACCAAGAATCTGCCAAATTCTGTGGAATAGTTTAGAATTGCAAAATTGGTCACTCAGTACTATAAAGTGAAAAAAAATCTTAGGATTGTTCAAATTACACTACATAAATCTAGACTGTGAAGAAAAATCAAAAGAGAAACCAGTGTTATGCATCTCTGGAAAGTACATGTGGGGTTAATAGCTCATTTGCACCTTTTTCATTGACAGCTGATGCAGGTAGTCACCATGTGTGTGATACCCATACACACAAATAAGAAGAAAAACTAAGTATTTTTATGACATTTGCAAACGCCTTAGGACTGTCCCTCAGTTGAAAAAGAGGAGAGGAGGGGCAAACTCTGTCATAGTTTCTCCTTGTAAGAGTAATTGCAAAAGTGGTACCCATTGTCCAAGGTGATGAAAAGTACTTGCCTTTCTGCGAGTCCCACTGGGTACCTTCCAAGGGCCGTAGCTCAGTTTCCTGAGATGGTGACACAGGGCTGGGTGACTGCTGTTGGTCAGGCTGCTGAATCCCGTAAAACTCTCCTGAACGTTATCCAAAAGGGAAAAATACCCCTAAGTTTACTGTGTGTGCAGCAT